TCTCAGCCTGAGAGCTGAGTGGCAGCCAGCCACAGGTGTACCTTGTGAAGCTGATTTTCCAGCAAATGAGCCCTCTGCTAATTTGAGCGCCAAACTTCCCTCAGGTAGTCCTCCTCAGAGGAACAGATAAAATAGCTCTTGTCATCGTGTGCTAGCTCTACCAGACAGGAAAAGAAGGTATTTTTCCATGCGCTATTGTAAGTATAAGGTCTTGGACTGTTTTATTTTGGGGTTTTTTTCTTGTTTGTTTGGGATTTTGTGTGTGGTTGTGGGTTGCTGTTTGGTTTTTTTGGTTTTTTTTTTTTTAAATGGAGATTTACAAGCAATATTTAAAAACACAATGTAGTTAAAAAGGCTAATATTCCTTAATGGAGGGTTACTTGTATGCTTGAAGGCTCTTGTGCACTTAGAGAATATACTTAAATCTAACTGTCATGTTTTAAAGTTTTTCTTTTCAAAGATATTCCGTGTCTCTGATACAGGAGACTGCTTCAACTTCCTGGTGTTTATTTTTAAGGAGTAAATCTTTCAAATTAGCCGTAGTAATAAAAAAAAACCCTGGTCTTTTCTCTCAAGTTATTCTGAGATTCTTAATACTGTGATTTTTATTTTTAAGTAGTCCCATGTATAAGAACATGTTCATTAAGGTAAATGTCACTACTTACAGAAACAATGGCAGAAAAATAAACTTGGAGATCATGACTCTGCATATATAAAACCAAGCTGATGGCAAGCTTGTAATAAACTAATTTAAGTAAAATGTTGAGTATTTATGTTTATTGCAATTTAGATTAATAAATACTTACCTATGATTTTTCTCCTTGCTTCACAAGATTATAAGAGTGGCAACTCTTGTGTTAAATGCTAGTGAGGCACTTTGCTGGTTTTGAGAAAAGAACTATTTTTTTTTTTCCTACCTAAAAGAAAAGTAGGGAGCTAAGTGCTCGGGGAGAGGGAGGTTGCTTCATTTTATTTCTTAATGCACAGCTTGAGTGAAAGCACAGAGTTCAGTGAAGTCTATATCCTTCTGCAGGCAAGTTGGTATTTGTACTATGCAGGGGGAAATCCCGTTAGCGTCAGAGGGTCCGGTGTTCTGCCCCTGCGGGCAACCACGTCAGTCCCTCTCACATGCACAACTCACCTTGTGAGTTCTGGTTATCAAGGTGTTGTTTAATTTTCCTCTCCCTCTACCCCTAACAGAAGCCTGGTCTGTAATGGCACTGTTCTGATAGGCTGGCTGTGAGTCAAACCCAATCTTGGAGGATCTGTGTATTGTTGTTGGTGGTCATGTAGTTAATATACACTGGACTCTTTGCTTCCCTGCTTTTTGCTTCAAAGCAAGTGTTGGGTTTGCTGTGTTTTTTGGTTTTTAACAGTGTGTATAGTTTTCTGGACAGAAGCAATATAGTGTATTTTTAGAACTGAGGAGTTGAAAGTGACAGGATGGTGGAAGGTAGGTATATAGCTGCAATATTGGGTGCAACAAGTCACTTAAAAATCTGAATCTTGAGAGTTTCAGCTACCTTTATCTGGCACATATTCTTTTTTAAAATAATATATCTCTTATAATGATCTACATATCATAGCTAACTTTCAATAGTATTGCTTGTTTCCCTCTTGTTTCTTTCCAATGACAAAGATTTAGTCAAGCTGCTGATGGTTGTCACAGATCTCTGTTCAAGTCTGATCATTGGGTTGCACTGGCTGGGTGGATGGTGTTTCTCAGTGCTGATGTTTCAGCAGATGCTTTTTTTTTTTTGGTGTGAGGAACTAAGAATGAAGCCCACAGTGGGGCAGTATCAGATGAAAGCTCCCAACTACTCAGTTCAGAGGAGAAGGTTGTAAATTGCAAGGTAGAGACAGATATCTCACTTGCAAGGTAGCTTCATGCCTGCAAAATGCACCTTCCATGCCTTGATTGCACACACATGCTTATCTTACTGGAAATATCTTTTTAAATATTGTCTGGGAGAACAGATAATAAAAATACAAATAGAACTGAAGTGCCTCTGTTGGGTATATTTCTTGGGTAATTCCCTGTGTGGCAGCTGTATTTGTGGCTAACTAATATAAGAAACAACTGGGTTTCGTTTTCTTGTTCTTGTAGGCTCACTGAAATGCTGAAACTCTTGTTGCATTCACTTTTGCTGCCTTCCCACGGCAGTACCCAAGCCAGTACCTACACAGAGCACACCCAGAAAGACAGCCTCATGTTTTCCTGAAAGTAAACTTCACTTAAATCTCGGCTTCTGAAACCTGTCACGAGACAGTATCAAGAAAGCTGCAGGCTCAGAATACTTTGACTTGTGTAGCTGTGGCTGCAGGATTTGACTGGGAAGCTGTTGAAAGAGGTCAGAAAGCGGTAACGCCTATAGCTGTAGGGGATACCTCCAGTAAATAGCTGGACAGTTGTTGCTGTTAGACCTGAGCAAAAAGCTACAAAACCAGGGAAGGAAGTACATGCTACAAACGTGGTCAGAAGTAATAAGTTGCAAAACTTTTGTTCATTAGAAGAAACAAAAATCTCACACTTTTCATATAAAAAAGAAATACCCAATTTGGAGTGAATTGGTCTAAGTAATATTGCATAGTGCTTCCTTTAAACTAAAAAGATAGTCAACTGCTAGGTTGCAGGGAGTTCTTCAGTTCTTATTTTTCTTCCTACCCCCTGATGTGTTTATTGTATTTAAGAATAAGCAGTGAGATTTCAGAAAGTATTTCTTTCTTTCTTTCTTCCCCACCTTTCCAAATCCACATCACTTCTAGTTCCCTGGAGATCTAAACATCATGGCTGAAGGTTTATGTCACAGCTGGTATGTGCACCAAGGATTTTCAGATCACTTGGTACCGAAGCTCCAACTTTTCCGCTGAAAGGAAAAATTAACGCAAAGACTATGTGTATGTTGATCAACCTGAGTCTTATATTTTGTCCCTATTCTTTCCAGACGCTTTGCAAAAGAAGTGAATCGATAATGTCTTCAGAACACGGAGCTAACAAACGGCATCATAACCCAGTGGACAGTATATGCAGAAAGATAAAATCTATCCAAATGATGGACCAAGTCTCTAACCCTGCTTTGCAGATACCAAAATTTCAGTCCCAGAACTTTGACAGTGCCCAATGCAATATTAAAAAAAATCTAGAAGAAATACTGAAGAAAAGAACTTTTAGAAGTCATGATAGTACTGGTCCACACTTAATCAGTCCCAGCAGTGACGGTGTTTTCTCTGCAGACTTGCAGTTGCTGTCGCCATGTCTCAGGCCTATCTCCGACTCCTGCTCTGCAAATGCTACCTATTCAGTCCTTAAAAGTGACGAGAGACCCAGCAACTCATGGATGCCAGTATGCCCCATGGAGAACTGTTCTCCATCCTACTTCAGATCCAGAGAGGCTAATACCCTGAACAAACTGTGTGCTTTATCAAATATTAAATCTAAAGATGCGGCTTGTGAACAGAAATATCTTACGTCAAGTCCAAATTTCTATTTCTTCACATCTGATGAGAAGCCAGAAAGTGCTGTGATGCAATCTCCTGTGCCAAAGAGATTATCTTTGAGTGAAAGAGGTAAAAATCTGTGGGGCGGTGGGAGGAGGGGGAAGGAAAACCCCTACTCATCCAAAATCCTAGATATCTGAACATTCAGCCTACATGAATGACATTTATTTACTTCTTAAGCTAGTAAAAATGTTTTGAAATCACTCAAATCCAATAAGACTGCAAAAAGAGCTGAGTAAAGTCTTAATTTTTCTTTAAAAAAATATTAACGTGAATGTAAAAAGTGAGGAAGTAATTAGTTTTTTTGTATTTACTTCATGCAAAAGAATAGCCAGAGTTGCCAAAAATGCATGTGTAGACATAGGTACATAAACCAGTTGCCAACACAGAGGGTCCAGCTATGAACTGTTCCTGGTGTTATTTGACAGTAAAAGCTGTGTTTTTACGGGGGGGATGCAGCTGGTTAGCTGATTATTTTTTTTAATTATCTTTAAATATGTATATTTTTTTTAAGTGTTATTCAAACTGTGGTATGCTGTGTGTGCTTGTGCTATGACAAACATAAAGCTGTGGTGCATGAAAGTTTCTATGAACAAATAAAGATGGACAACAACAAACTTATTCTTCATAGGATGGAAGCAGTCACTGGGGTACAAAGCTGACAACGTGCACGATGTGAGCTTGATCTGTGAAGAAGACCTACTGACCACTATCTTCTGTGCATGTGACATAGAGCACACAGGTTTGCCAGTGGTTTTTCATTGCTCTATTTTATTCTCCTCTTAAGAAATTTTCAAGGCTGAGATTGTATTATGATTCCTGAGACGTGCCAACCTATGACATGCGTAACCTGCCTAGCTCCCTTACCTAGGTGGCTGTATGTGTGGCAGATGCAGAATAAATATCTGTGCCTCTTTTGCACAGTGCCTGTTTCTTCCCTCTTCCTTCCCCTACTTCAGAGCTAGAGATAATTCCTCTGAGTTTCACCTCAAACATCTCTAAAAGTGGTAAAGAAAGGAGTCATCTAGCAGTGTAAGACAATGTTAGTCGCAGTGTTTGCCCAATTTGAGAGACCTGAAAGTAGTAGCATAGCAACTGTCAAGTTTGTTCTTCTTAAACTGAAGTCCACAAAACCAGTAAACTGGACTTCCACACTTGTGTTTAAAAAAAAACAAACAAACAAACAAAACCCCAACAAACAAACAAAAAAACCACCCCAAACCCTACAAACAAAAGCTCTCAACTGTCCCTTTCCAGGCCACGCTAGAACTGCAGGGATCAGTTGCTTGGCTACAGCTCTTAAGGGCAATTGAATACACACTAGTGCAGATCAGTAGCATGCCCTATAACAGCTTTTTATAATGACCTACCAGACTTCAGAATCTGGCACATGGACATCTGTATCTATTTTAGGAAAAGTAGCAGTTTCCAAGATAGTTGATTATTTGAGATGTACAACTAGTCGGGGATTGGAAGATAGTGGTCTTGAAGAGCTGTGCAACATGCTTGACCCAGATCAGAAAGATGTCTCCCTGGACCTGGAAACGTATCATGCCATCATGAAAGAGTGGATTGAAGACTGTAAGAGAAAATGGTAATAGCTTTTTGACAATCTATCTCGTAAAAGCTTCTGTGAAAACAAGACAGTAGAAAGTTCTTTTGTGGTTTGCGCCTTCCGTACTCTGGAACAAAGATGGTATCAGGACACTGTGACCACAGTGTAGGTTTTGGCTGAAACATTTTAAATGTTACAAAGTTGGTAAGCAATCTAGTGTTATGCTGATTTTTGTGATGCCTGATACTTCCTTGTTTCAGGGAAGATGGTGCCACCGAGGAACCAACAGTGAGCATGGAAGACCTGGAACTTAAAGTGCCTAAAAACATCTCTGAAGGTACAGACCACTTGATTCTGTTTTTTTACAGGAAAACTCCGTTTTTCTTACTCTATAACCAAACCCACTGCCTCTTTCAGCAAAAAAGATGCATGTCCAGATGAATGTTACATCAGGAAGCTTGGAAGCCTTTGGGGGTGATGTGTCTAAAGGAGACATGTAAGTCCATTTAAGTAATTCTTTCTCAGAATTCAGTACTTCTGGCTTTGACTTACCGGAGAGCAATTCCTAGAACCACTGCCTCAGAAAACTATCTTGTCAGAGTTTCTAATGCTGACCTCAGTCTGCGCTAGCTCTTGATGCTATCACTTTCTTCCTTGCAGCTTCTGCTCAGGCTTAAACACGCTAGTAATTTTTTGTACTGATATCTTGGTTCTCCTGTGTCCATTTGCCTTTTTAATTTCATGTGGTCAGAGTTTTGCCATGTGTTTCTCTTTCTTTTTAAACTGGTTCCTCCCCTCCCCCAAGTTCTTAGGTGTATGACAACAGAAGACATCATCTCCTGAATACCTAGTCCTTGGCTTTGTTTAGGGTGGTTTGTTTTTTTTATAGTTATGACTCTGATTTGGATTCTACTAATAGCAAAACACTTATCTTTGAAAATTCTGGTGTTTGTTAACTTTTGCATTTTATGCATAATCTAAAAATCCTAAAATCTTCTTTTTGATGCTTTCCTATTGTTTCTCAGGATCTCAAAAGGTTGATCCTTGTTCAAGTTTCAGTTGAAAGCATAAGTGGGGCATAGTTTAGGGGAAAAGAAAGGATCCAGAAATTTTGGAGATAATATCCAAAAGTATTCATGGTGGCCTAAGAAGTAATTAGCAAAGACTTAAGATACTGTCATGCAGACATCCAGATGTGGCACTTGTCTGGTGGCATACTTCAATTGCAGGGAGCATTAAAAAAAGTGCTTAAAAAAAAAAAAAAACAAAACAGTTCCTGGTTTCCACAGAATTACAGAACTGATCTGAAGATGATCTGTTATCTCCGTGCAGAGCAAATGACTATACACTGAAGCATTACAAGCCCTCTGTGGGCTCTCCTCTCACTACTTTAATCAGTGTAGCAGAGTGTCAGGATTTTTAAAAAGTCTAAGTTAACTCGGCTTTCTCAATCTTTCCTGGTTTTGTTACTTGAATAGGGAGACTTCTGACTTGATAACCTGTGTTGCGGACCTGCAGTACAACAACCAGAAGCTTCAGGAAGAGAACAACAAGCTGAAGCTCACACTAGAAGCTGTGGATGAGACCAACAATAAGCTGTTGGCTGATAATGAGGATCTGCGTCAACAAATAAAAAGGTGGGAGACCCTGACGGCACCAAGTCTACAATGTAATGGCTGTGGGCAGACCAATCTTCTTCCGAGTGGCCCAGCCTTGTTTTATGCTTTTAGCCTCACCGTTGCTTCATGATAGCAACTTTCTTGACTTAAACCTGACGGATATTACATTAACTCTCTTGTCTGATTGTTCTGCTGTGTAATATCCGTCAGGTTTAACTCTCTTGTCTGATTGTTCTGCTCTGTACATCCTGGCTCTTATAAAATCATTCATTCACCTTATAGCGTGGTTCTTGCAGCATGAGCTGCTGCAGGCACACACAGGTGAAATATTAGGGTAAAGCAAAATCAAAAAACCAAAACACATTAAAAAAAAAAAGGCTTAATATTGCCAAGCACTAGAAGGCTTCCAATCCTAGACCACACACTTGCTGCCAAACAGCGGGGAAATGTGCATGTGAGAGCTATTTTGCTAGTCCCTTGAGGAACTAAAGTGAGTTGTCTCACTAGCTTAGTATTGCTGCAGCCTGGGGACCCATTGATGCCATGAGTATGAGCCTATTGTTACAGTGAATTCATAACGCTTATCTGACCCAATTAACTGGTATAGTTATGTTAACAGCCAAACCATTCCCAGTATCTTCTGGGAGATTAAAGCAAGAGTCCTGCAGTGTAGCTGGCAAGGGACATGTGCCCATATGTTGGACCATGTGCTCTGCAGCATAGTGCTAGCTGGGAAAAGGGCCTTACCTCATTGATTTAAATATACGTTGTTTGGGGTATTGGATCAGGATAAGAAAATGATGCAGAACTGATCCTTGAAAACAGAGAAATGGCTTCTGTAACTGCTAGCAGTGAAGTATTGTAAAGATGAGTTTATGTGCTCAGGTAACCTGACTGTAACAAGCTAGATTGTCAGGTCGATGCAAACAAATGCATGCTATCTTGGATGCTTTGTTTCCATGGGGTTTCAATCCCTCACTGTGAGAGCAGAAGGGGGTAATAAATAGAGGGTAAGTCCATAAGCCTTTACTTACTGGACAAAAAAGATGGGCTTAAACTTGATTGTTGCTCTTCTGTTAAGTATCTGTGCCAAAGAATAAGTCCCTGGTGGCTTCTAAATATACTGTTCTTCCTATTTCAAGCCTATCTAACGACCAACAGTAACTTCCTAAAATTTCTCTGAATTTCCTTCCCTCCCCCAAGCAGCATCCAGTATTCTGTGCTGAAAGCCAAATCACTGGAAGAAGAACTAGAAGAAGCAAAAAACAACCTGAACCTGTCAGAAGAGAAAAGACAGAAGATGATCTGCCAGAATAAACAGCTAGTAGGTGCTCTTATTTCTTAGCTTTTTGTACAGCATCTCATACCTTGCTGTAACAATGGCATGAACGCTCAATATGTAAAAATCAGCAATATGACCTTCTCTGTACTGGTAGGTACTGAGGCTTTTTGAGGATGTTAAATATCAGCAAAATCAATAAAAAAAAATATCTCTGTACCGGTAGGTACTGAGGCTTTTTGAGGATGTTTGAAATGTGATTTATCAGTGTTACAAAAACACTGAAGTTTTTGCGTGGAAGTTTCTTTAAATTATTGTCAGTTACAATGAAGTAAAGAATTAAAAGGGCTGGTCTTACATATAAGTATGCTTAAAGACAACAGGTCTCGTGCTGCCATCATTAAGCCCTGTCTGTTTTGAAGTTGGTGATCTGCCAGAAATTCATGTAATTTTCTAGAGCCAGGAGACCCTGTTCAGATGTCCTCACAAAAGATTAATTTTCCAAAACATCCTGAGGTTATTGCTAATGTCCATACGGGCTGGCAGATAATGACAAGGGCTATCAGAAACCTGTCCATTCTGGACTGACAGCTGGAAGCCAGGCAGCACACCTTGGCGTGTTTCAAAGGGCTCCAGCTGCCTACATGAGAGCATCCGAATCGCACCCCAGGTGTCTGAGTAGCAAAGCCTGTGTGACTGTAAGAGGTGTAAAGCAGCCTGGTAACAAGACTGATGTGGCTGCAGCTTTAGCAGGTGTTGCCAGACACCAGAGCATTGGCGCTTCAGAGAACACATTTGTGTTGCTGCCATGCATGTTGTCCACACTACAGCGGCATCTCTGTCTTGCTGCGTGGGCATAGCTGCAAATGGTGTTCCATAGCTCTGTACACTTGCTGACGGTGGGTATCTAGAAACAAACAAAAAAATAATTGGTATCTAGAAACAAACAAAAAAATAATTGGTATTTAGAAATTAAAAAAAGTGTTTCATGCCTAGCAAGAATACAAGATTTTTTTTGGTGTTATCCTGCTGCAGTGTGTGTATATCTCTGTTTTGCTTTAATTTGAGATTACATGCGTAATTCACCTTGTGAAAACGGGGTGGGAGAGAGGAACATTATCAGCAGTTTTGTACTTGTGCTTATAAGTCCCTTAGTTACTGTTCCCTATGCAGTGAAGGCACTGAGTGGGATACTAGTACCTTTCTTCATGTCTGTTATAAAAAAAAAAAGTGTAGAATGGCTCATAGGCTTTCCAGGTTTGTCTTGACTCTAGCATGAGGATGACCAGACTTGCTGACTCTGGCCTTGAGAGACCACTTAGACCACGAGATTATAGGAAGGAGGTATTCATTTGAAATGCTCGTGACAAATCCTTTGGTGAGGGTTCATCAGCTGGACCAGCCTCAGCACTCCCCTTTTTTAGCTGTGCTCTCTGAAGCAAAGGAGTGCAACACCACAGCTTCATATTGGGGTCTGGATGTGTTTGTGGTCTGTTGCTTTTTGACTTGCTTTGAATGTTGAACTTGATGTGCTGAAAAAGAACCATTTTGTTTTTCTCTTTCTTTTGCTCTTTTTTATAAACCTGATCAGGAAAAAGAAAATCAGTCTCTCGTCATCAAAATTACTTCTCTCCAGGAAGAGGTAAAATAAATCATGACTTTGCAAGTATGTGTTCTTCTCTAGCTGAAAGCTCACCATTAAGAGATGAAATGTGTGTCAAACTTTGAAGGCTGTCATGCTAATTAGGTTATCAAGATATCTTACATTTTACAAGGATGAATTATCATAAAACTTATCTTGAAGATGCACTGTGCTTCAGGCTTTCCATTTGCTGGGTAAGTAAGGATATGAGGTTGGGAAAGTATGTGGGACAGGAACAAATGGCTTTTTCCCCCCTCTCTTTCAAAGCTTTATAGACAAATTACAACTATCTCTAGTTAACACAGCTATGAATATACTAACACTATATTGAAACAATCTCCAACACTTTTTTTTGTCTTCACTTCCGTTCATCTCCTTTAATATTCAAAGTAGGATCTCTGTATAGAGCTGTAAATCAAGGGGGG